ATTTTTGTCGTTAAATTGTAATTATTTATGAATGTTTTTAGGGTTCCGTACCTCGAAAGGAACCTTATACGATCACTTTGTTGTTCGTCCGTCTGTCTGTCGATACCCTTTTTCTGAAGAACGCGTGAAGGTATCAAGCTAGAATTTATTTAAGTTTATAAAATACTCTAAATTAACTCTATGTACGTAAGCTGATTCAAAACATATAAAACTATGGGTTCTTAAAAAATACCAGTGCAAAACAATGTAGCTATGTTTGTTTTTGTTTTTTCAAAGTAATTGAAAGAGGGTATTACCAGAAAAATGTTATTGTACAGGAATTTTCCGCCTCATACTATAAAAAGGAGTTTAGACAGTGGGAGCTGACAGCAATATATTTATTGACGTCGAGTTACCCCGGTAAGAAATTAAAGATGTAAACTCATATTTCGGAAGTGCCATTCAACGTATACTTAAGCAATTCGATATCTGCTTGCGCAATAGTTGGTAATAAGATCATCTAATGTACCATCACTTTCGTTCATACGACTGTTACACAATATTATTTTGTGCTTCTCGATACTTAATCTGGTTACGTATGTTAGTAGTGTACGTTTTCTCAAAGGTGAAAGGACTTGACTTTTACATTTAAAACGTTCACTTAAAGGGAAAGGAGCAAATTAGCGTTGCTTTGAACGGACAGCGTGAGAAAAGGAGTTGTGTACAGTGGCCGTCATTCGGGGTGTTCTAGTTACAGAAAAATATCCCTTGAAGCACGCAAGTAACTTACTACTCTAGCTATCAATGTTTTGATCAAATTAGGAACAATGTATATTTAATATTGTCTTATATGATAGGGGGTATGGACCGCCGGTGGATATTCGCAATACTAAAAGAACCGTAAATGCGTAGCCACTTTTTGAGAACGAGAAAGTTTTTATAGATTTTTAATCGAATATTAAGCTTTTTACTTTCATACGTACTATTTTTTGTGACGGAGGTTTCTTTAAATTCATAATTTAAATTTAACATTTGCCCTTTCAATGCATAAAACGATTTTCGCCTTTAAGGTGGGTACCGCTAACGGCGTCGACTGTACTTTAAGGAGCCAGCTGCAATTTAATGAAAGGATGCTTAAATTTATTTGCAGTTCAAATAGCTGTAACGCAACTGGAAGCTCAGTTGTTCTTCAGTTCAAGTTTTATTGAACGTGCATTTACATTTCCGGAATGTTAATTTAATTAATTCTATTTCTAGTCGACTCAGGTTTCTTGGGAGAAAAAATAGTGTTAAGAACCAGGCGTTCTATTATAGGTTTGTTGAACTACGTTTTTTACTACTATTAAGCGATTCTACAACGAGCTGGTAGTTTTCTTGTAAGTAGCAAATACTTCTTGAGGTCAAGATTTAATTTTCAAATTTGACCATTTATTGTGCTTTTCAAATTTATAATTTCGATAAATCTGTGTTTAGTTACATTTTTTGAAAGTCAATATGGGTCCAAAAAATAATTTTGCTCTTATTTATTAGACCGAATTCTTAAGAGGTAAATATCAAAGATATTTATTATTTCACAAGAAGTGTCCATTAAAAAAAACGAGACATATTGTAACTAATTGAATGTAGTTAAAATAAATCTATTAGCCAGTGCTCCCATAAAATTATACTTCGCAAAAAAATGTAACATAAGAGGCACTTTTCAAACTCATTTCTCGTAGCCTCACGAGAATATGTATTTTATTGTGCTTAGACCCTACATTATTAACTGTGGCGCCGACGTAATTACAGACTTTTAATGCAAGGGACTTTACTACTGGATTACTTACTTGCTGTACTGTACAATAGTAATATTTTTAGCAGTAAAACTTGTTTTTTTATTATTTGTATATATCACGGTGTATGTTCGCGATAAACTCCGAAACTACTGAACCAATTCTTATTAAATTTTGTAAGCAACTGTAATTAGGTTCAATTTGGGAGATAGGGTAGTTTTTATCTCTATTATTGATATCGGTATTTATTATGTTAATTCCGCACGGACAGAGTCTCGGGTGACAAATAGTTTTTTTTTAAATTATACTTAATTTCGTTATAAACTAAAGAATGTGTATAATTTTATATGTTGCCAAGTATTACAAAATATTCGTTATGACGAGTTCTCTGTATTTAATTTTCTACAACATTTTCAAAGCGCGTTCTGAAGATGCGTTGCAAGCTTTGAGCGTTTGTGCTAGAATGCAGTTGGTTGTTACAATTTATTTTGACAGGGATTTTGCATTTTATCTCATAACCAAATAACGTTAAATTATTTCGTGTCAATATAATATACATTATGCATTTCGCATAACGTTATAAACTGCAATCATTTAATATTTGTAACCGTTAGTAACATAAATATATTTAAATAAATTTGTTTATTTTGCGAGCACATTTTATATAAGTAGGCAACGGATCCATATGTGAGGTAAATAAATGCATTTATGCTTAGTTTATTCAAATAAATACATCTATATATAGATGATATTATAAAACGTTATGTAACACGTTATATAAGGAATGGATAGTAAATATAATTCGATATGATGGCCGGAGAATGGATACTTGTGAGTTATGTTACCGTTATCCATCAAAGATGGATCGATTCTGCTCGCTCGTAACCTACACCGCAATAGATAAACATTATTTATTGCTTATTGTCTGTGAATATCTAATATTTCGGTACAAATTTTATGTATAGATATGCACATCTATAAAAATTATATGTAAAACGTAATAAAAGAAAGGCGTGTAAAGAAAAGTGTTTTCAATATTATTATTTCTTCACAAAGGTGATTTTTTAAATATTACCTATCATATAAAAAGAATAACAAAGTAGGCTATTTCCTAGTAAGGGTTTTAAGTCCAAGAATAAAAAAAAACCCATCCCTAAATCCCATTGGTTAGACTGATTCTATAAATTTGTCTTGCCGAATGGCTGATGAGTCCAATGGGTAACAACAACAAAGTACCCGTTCAAAAATTATTTACGGTATTAATTTTGAAATTGTTTTTTTTATTTTTATACATTTTAAATGTTTGTTTTTATTTGTCGTAACTTTACAATAGCCGTAAATAATAAATAACTGTTGTGTGTTATGTGAATGAAAGTGGTGGACGACCGGAAATGGCTTGAAAGATTCGCTGAGTCGTAGCAAGAGGGACGAGAACATCTTGCGTAATGTACTTCTTCCGGTGATTTACTGAGAGTAATACACAGTTTCTTACGTATAGGAACTGAATGTATTTGATGTTGACTTACAATGTTTATTATTGTATTGTTTATGTATGTTGATTATTTAAAATTAAAGCGTTCTTGTAGCTACGTACATCTTTTTGATTTTGATTTTCATTAAATTAGATTAACATGAGTTTTTATTACTTAAGATAAGCGGAGTCGTAATTTATATTAGTTTTGAATTACTTACCGTGGGTTTTTGGATCAATTATTAAAAGTGTCTGTACAGTAACTAACAACTGTAAAATTTTTATTCACAAAAGACACACACGAATTCGCCCAAAAATTTAAATGGATACTAGCTGTTGTCCGAGGCCCCGTCCGCGCTGTATTAACGACAAAATAAATTAAACAGACTATGTTCTACGTCCATACCAAATTTCTATGAGATCTATGCAGTAGTTCTGAAGATGCTTTCTATTTTCTAGATTCGCATTTATAATATAAGTAAGAAGTCAGATTGCTATAGAGCTAGATGTGATAATTATCTTGGTAACAAATGGTAAACATGTTTTCACAAGCTGATGTACGATTTGTTGAGAATGTCTTTATGAGAGCTTGTTGAAATGTTAAATTACTTGCTCTTTGTCTCTCTTACACCTAACGTATACCGGTAGGACAGTAGTTATGAAACATACGCGAAATTCTGTGTGTTATATTTCGTATGTTCCCTTAGTACATAATATAGGCTTTTGTATTACAGTACATAGTTTTCATGTAGTTGATATTCCTTGTTACAAAAGAAAATTGATATTATTATATGTTTTAATATACATAGGCAAGTTTTGTAGTTGATATTACTTTTAAATATTATGTAATTTTTGCTAACTTGCTGCCGCCCGCGACTCTATCCGTGCGGAATTAAAAAAACGTGATAAGTAGTCTACGTGTTCTTCTAGACTATTTTCCACATCTGTGCCAAATTTCTTAAAGAACAGTGAAGCTGTTCTTCAAACAAACATCCATCCATCCATCTAAACTTTAGCATTTATGATATCAGTAAGATTAAAAAAAATAAAAAAAATAATGTTTGAAATACGATTTCAAACATTATTTTTTTTATTTATTTTTTTGTATGACATTTAAATTTTTTGATGATGCCGATAATTTGCCAGATTACTTAACCGTTAAATTGTGAATTGCAAAATTATTAAGAGACCATTAATATTTTATATTATTCATGACCGGTGGTGTAATATTTGTTAGGTCATTAATAAATTTAACATAAATGCATTAAGACGACAGTATTTTATCTGATTTGGTTTGCACAATCATTTTATTCCAGTTTCTAAGAGCTAAATATTAACCAGGTCAGTTTTGCATATTCTGCTCCGCAACCATTGAAATATTAGTTATGTCTATATTCATTTTATCAAACGATTTATACTAAAACCTGCCTTTAAAATAATTTAATTAATTCTTGACTCAATTCTCGAGGAAAAAGTGTACGATTTTTTGCAGTTATATTAATAAAAAGAAAATCGTTTAACTATTGACTTTTTAAGAGGGTGTACCAAAGAAATTGCATTTCACCGTAAAAATATATTTTAAACTTAGACCCATTTGGTTCAACAGATCAAAAGATTGCAAATGCAAACGACCAATTTTTAAAACGGTGACATAACAATCATTTTAATTGGAAAATTGTTATACTTACTTTATGAGAAAGTCGTTAAAATAACCTTCGGGTCAATCAACGATCGAATGTTGATTTTAAAGATAGATAAATATGTTTATATTGTTGTAGGACAAGTGAGCTGGTGGCGCTAGTGGCGGTGTCCTGCACTCTGTTCCTGTTCCTGCACACACGTGACCTGAGCACCAAGCTGCGCCGCATGCAGGGCAGGCTTAACGATGACGTCACCGCCTTCAACCACCTCACTGACAGTAAGTTTTTTTTAATTATATTTTAATGTGTATTGGGTGTACTTCGATATTTATAAAGGTACTGTAAAGTAGAAAATCCGACACTGTGCCGGTGTATCGGCGCAACACTAGCCTTATTAAAGTGTCAGCGTTTATGTAGCCCCCACTAATCAATCTGACACATGACTTCGTAACGAAAGCGCTCCATTCGCGCCAAATAATTCTAATAATGTCTAAAAGTACTTTTAACCTTGTAAAGATGAAAAAAATTATGTTTTAGGTATTTTTAGGACAATATATTTTCAGATCTTTATCATTTTTACCACGAGTTAAATATAACTGTGTAAAATTGTTAAAAATTCCATCCGAAAACGTTTCATATTTGTGATACAAAACCGGCGTACACAATAGTTGTCATATAGACAATACAATATTTTCGACCCGCGTTGCATTTCAGGTCAAACGAAATCCTGGCAATGGTTTTAGAAATTGTCATAGAAAAAGCGCTTAGTATGCGATTGGGTGCGTAATATCCCATTGTACAGCACGCGTCACTACGGGAACTCGTCCAAAATTTCACAAGCACTAAATAAATACTTTATTGCAACTTCGACCACTGAATCATTCGAGTACCGTTCGACTTTCGTCGGTTTACACTTTACCCCTACTCATGCTTATGAGCTTAATGGTCTTCATCGCCCTACTCATTACTATTATTAAATACTACTACTATTTATTTACAATGCTATTGATTAATTACGGGGTGTTTTCCATTGCCCCGAATATACTGTAAGCTGAAGGGCCCAATGGGAAACAACTAATTGTCCTAGATATCTTTTAGTATAATTAACACTAATCAACTTTGCTTAGATAATGAACTAATTATTAATATTATCATCAACATGTACTACATTTAAATTCACTATTTTAAGGATCAAAATTCAGGAACTAACGAGAAATAACAATTTATATTAAACAAAAAATAATGTCATCTCGAATGTCATCTCTTACGATCCATAGGATTCGTATGACATATATTTCAAATAACATCGATTTATAGGAGTAACTGTATTCTCCATAACTGATATGAAAATTATAATACTTATGATATAATGTGACAATAGTGAGAGGTTGTGGAATAACCGAAATAATTTGTGACCACTGATTACATTTTGTGGTGAGCGTAATAAGGTGCTTGCTTTCTCTGCGGCGTACAAGTCTACGAAAACTAGTTAAATTGTGAAATTGGATAGATAAAATTATAACCTTTTCACAGTTATGATTTTTATTACTGGTCACCGAAACAACGTCGAAAGAAGGATGGTAACTATATTAAAAAGAAATTATGTTACTTTACCAGTTAAACACAATTTAATAAACTGGATGAAATAAGTTTTTACGATATTTAAACTAGATGTAATTTAATGCATTCTTTTTCAATATATAATGTAAAGGTTTATAGTACAATAATATAAAACTGTATAATTCAATTTCTGAAACTTTTACAGCAATAAGAAGAGCTATAGATCGATAAGGATATATGACCCGGTTGGCGTAAATCAAATTAAATTATGACAGCTCACTAGCACCATTCTAGTCAATTTCGAAAGAGTTTCACAATTTTTTTTATCGTACTCTAGCTGCCGTGTATTTTTTCTTTTATGGCATTTTATTTGCCTAAGTAGGTTTTATATATTTTGTGACAGGACAAAGCGAAAGCAGCCTCTCTGTCCCTGGTGTCTGCGTTTGACTCTAATAGCAAATGTGATTAAAATTTTCTAGAATGCAGTAAAAAAACTGGTCCGCGTAGTTTTGCTGGGCTCCCCGCAAAATGAACCTAATCTACTTACTACTGGAAACGGTTGGCAAGAGATGCAATAAAATAAAATTGTGAACGCAATATTCATATTTAGATATTTTAACAAAAACGTTGTAATAGTCGTGAAGATTCGCAATTTTCGTTAGATTACTAACTGCTGCCCGTGACTCCGTCCGCGCGGAATAACAAAAATTTGATAAGGAGCTTATGTATTCTTCCCAACTGTTCTACATCTACGCCAAATTTGAGCCAGCGAGATCCGTTGACCCGTTCCGGAGATACTTTCAAACAAACATCCATCCATCTAAACATTCGCATTTATAATATTAGTAAGATATAAAAAACAACACATTTACGCCGGTCATATATTATAGTAATAATTTACTTACGAGCATAGTAATTATGACACGATTGCCTCGTGCGTGTGGCGTTAAACATTTGTCTATGAAATGGTACATCATTACGTTTTTTAATGTTCTATTTTATTTAATAACTTCATCTTTTAACTATTAAATTTTCCTCTACATTATTCGAAAAAGAAAACTGTACGAACATATTAAATATAGTCGTATATTTGAAATAAGTCTTTAAAATAATTAACTATTGCTCCAGTATCTAATAAAATTATTAATTTGTTACTCATAATATTGTTCGTTTAACCGTGCGCTTCCATTGTTATAATACCAGTTAAAACATACAGTTAATTTTGTTTACAATTCAAAGATTATGACAATTTTTTTAATACTGTATAAGCAGTGGAAACCTACGATTATTTTCGACGTAGAGTAGTTTTCTTCTCATAAAAGTAGTGGTATATTTTACATAAAAATTATACATCACTTTCCTATAACACTGATAGGTGGTACAGTTACTCTATAACCTGTCATCCAGGACCACATTCCGGAAGACCAGGTGACCTAAATAAGACCTCAATTAACTACAGCTCCCCACGACGATACGCAGATACGCAATCAGGTTGCTGTTGTGGTCGTTTGTATCCAATAATACAACGTTAGTCGTTAAGTAACTGATCGAGCGGTTTAAAGCGCCCCCTAGTGCCATTTACTGTGTACAAGCTTCTTGCGGCTTTTATTGCTTTAAAATAATTCCGTAATTGACAAGATACTGTAAAAGTTATATTGATCAAAATATCTATGGTATGTAAGCGTAGTTAACGTGTTATTATTTACCATACCTCAAGTATTAAATTAAGACATTTTTAATTGACTTCAAAAAGGAGGAGGTTGTCAATTCGTCTATATATTTTCACCACTCGGATCCGAGTGAGCGGCCCGTGCATTTTGTAGTTTACAGTAAGCCGCCGGCGTTTGGATGAGCTTATGTCGGTTTGCGTGTCCACTATTTTTTATTAAAATAATAATAATAAAAATGTACTTTCATCCATATTTTGGTTCCTGGCTAATTAGTCTATATTATATCTTTAGCAGTGAATGTGTTAATACGTTTCCTATAACACCGGGGCTAGACAAAATTTATAATAAAAATTTATTTACTACAGTTAATTAATACAAAGAAACATGTTAGGATTATTCGAACAATAGACATAATGTAGACAGCTCATTCGTTCAGTGCTCAAATTGTCTTAACAATTACAATGAGTACATCAGATAAAGATAAAGCCAAATCTAAATGGATTGAGAAACAAGATAATATCAATAGTGAACGGCTCTATCGATTTTGTATCGCCTTTTCCTTTGAATAAATCGATCGAAATAGTTGTAATATTAAAAAGAGCTTCATAGATACTTGATCTATATTTAATTTGTCGGTTTGTCTGTACGGTTAGTACGTGACTATTGTAATTCCGTTATTATTACTATGTAGCCTACTTTGCTGTTGTAGAATTTAAAAATATGCTTTTTAAAATAATATACAACTTAGTCGGTAGAGGTTTACCGTGTATATATATTCAGCCAAACATATTTTAAAACGGGCTTAAATATAATATAACGAGAAATAAAAGCAATACATGTTTCTTTGTATTAATTAACGGTAGTAAATAAATGTTATAACGAACTTCAAAAATGTATGGAACTGACGCGCGATAATCACGTGACTTATTAAAGGTTATTGTCAAGAAATAAAGATCTATTACATGAGTTCTATGTACATAAAGTTAAAAATATTTATTTTTATATTTCATATAAAGAATGATAGGGTAAACCATCTATAAGTATATGAAAATGGTTGTATATATAAAAATATAATAAAAAAATAAACGTACCTATTATTACATAGTCGTAATAGTTACATTATTAATTTAAAGCTGATAATAATGTATACTTTGCGTTCATAAACACTACATACTGCCAGCAACAATTTAAACCTTAAAATGAACAAAAGGAAATGATAGAGAGAGGAAAATGTCTATAAATAAAAGCTGGTTATAAACGCTGCGGGCAAGTAGCACTTAACTTGCAGGCTTGAAACCCGCGCTGCATTTCCTCTTGTTGTTAATAAAACAACATGAACACTCACGCCTATCCCCTCGAGGTGCAGGCAGAGATAACAGACTTCAAAGTACTGGATTTAAGTGATTTTAATAGAACCTAGCTACGTAATAGGATTGTACTGTATGTGTGTTTGCAACGACTGCGTTAAATTAATATTGATCACTAGCTGTCGCCCGCGACGCCGTACGCGGGGAATTAAAAAAACATAATTTGTAGACTATGTGTTCTTCCAGATTATGTTCTTCTGGAGATACCTTCAAACAAACATTCATTTATAAAGATGTATTCGTTTAAAAAGGTTTTGCTTCTATGTCATAAATTCTATATTACGTGTACCGTTGAATGGGTTTAAGTATTCCATACAATGGATAAAGTGATCTAGATGGCGTTTAAGGTGTGATTTTAATAAAACTTTCTAAAAAAAAGATTCACATATGCCCAATATTGTTGCCAGGGATGTATTCATGTTACTAAAAGAGGTCGAATATTATTTTTATTGCAAAAGAAAAAATCACGTACTGTATCTTTGCTGTCCGGAGAAAACCGGAACAAATAGGTAGTATAATAATACTAAATTATCAAAATAAAAGCCCACTAAGCCTATGTCCGGCTATAAGTTATGTAAATAGAATGTCTTACTATTGAAGATTTATATTGTAGAGCGCAAGGCGATTTGAATTTTTTATTTGTTTTTTAAAATAGAGAAAGTAAATCGATAGTTTCGATTG